TATATATAATGTGTATATAACCTCAATTATCCCAAGTAATTAGTGCCGGATCAACTTTTGATGATTAATATATTCGAGATCATAATTAATGTTGATAGATAACATTTTCTGAAAATTACCTCGTGAAGCATGAAATAAATTATTTTTAGTATTTCCCTTATCGGATAATGAACACGTAGTAAAAACTTGAAATTTCTACCTTTAGGACGCATTTATTCAGCGCAACTTTTAATTGTAATAATTACCCTGATAATTACAAAATATCGAAACGTAATATTTTTTATAGTTTCTCTATATAATATAAATAACACTCGTGGTCTAAATTTAAAACTTCAATTTTCATAAACGTTTCCAGTGAGCGTTATTGTCGAGCAGGCTAATTATCCATTTAATTATTTTTCTTTTAATAACGGCAGGCACTGAACTTTCGCTCTTCGCCTTAGAGGATGCCTGAAGTGCTGCTCATTTATCGTTACCCAATGGGCACCTATGAACCAAAGTCACGGAGGCGAGCAACATTACCCACGCCACACTGCCACAAATACCTGTTCATAGAGTGGGCCACATTCATACATTCACACATCAGAAGACAACACAGAGAGAGAGAGAGAAACATCCATGCCCAGAGCGGAATTCGAACCCGCAGCCATTGGCTTCGCAGTCAGGCACGCTAACCACTCGACCGCATGGCCGGCCCCATTTAATTATAAAATACCCTGATAATTGCGAAAAAAATTAAATTGAACTTTTTTTCTTTTCTTTTTTACGTATGAACCCTTTAACTGGGCGTAGCGTAATCTTTCAACAAAAAATAAGCACCTTTTAAGTACTTTTTAAGCACTCAGAAAATATTTTTAAGCACTATCTGCATCAACAAAATGCAAAATAATTTTCAAAGACTTCAGATTATCATGAGAAAATAACTAGATTCTGAGGACTCTTTTTCTTGATTATATTAGCGATTATAAAAAAGATCAAGAGGTTTTTCGGTTCGATATCAGAGGGTGGAAAATGAAGCCTGAAATTCAAAATATCTTGCAAAATGCAGCAGAGTTGCACTTTAGAATACAAGAATCTCACCGAACTCAGGTCAGTAGACACACATGCGGACTCGCAATTATTTCATCAAACATGTAAAATGACAGACGCTTTCATACGCTATGTGCACGTTGTGAGAACGTTGAATAGAACAATGTGAAAAGCAAGCTTTTGCATAATACGTGTCGAAAATCGACATGGTAACGAAAAAAAGTCTAATTTCCGAAAGGGGAAGATTAATCATTTTTTAAAAACACCCAATTAAAAAAGCACCTTTAAGGGCTTTTAATTAACGAAAATCGAAAATAAGCATGCATATTTTCGAAAATTAAAGCCAAGATCGAAAGTTAAAGGTTAATTATGCATATTAAAGCGCACCATGTTTAATATTAAGGAAAGATGCAGTCCAATAAGTATGTTTGAAACATATGCTATATTTTTTTATTATAAAGGGAAGATTGTCATTAGAATTAGTCTCTCTTGTATCCGAACTAATTCGTCTCAACGCACCATGTTTAACATTAAGGAAATAAGCAGTCCAATAAGTATGTTTGAAACATATGCTATATTTTTTTATTATAAAGGGAAGATTGTCATTAGAATTAGTCTCTCTTGCGTCCGAACTAATTCGTCTCTTGCTTTGCTGCTTTTCCCCATCTTTACTTCCATTGAAATAAAAAATGGGTCAAAGTTTGAAAAATATAAGTTAATATTAAAGCAAAATATAAGCCTTTATGTACAGAGAACACAAAAATAGGAAAGAAGGAACCTAACTGCAAGAAAGAAGAAAAACATTGATATTTCAGACCACCTTGTGCCTGAGCTTATTTGTCTATAATTTTGCCTCTTGGTTTCGCATTTATTTATATTGAAATCAAAAACTAAGCAAAGATCGAAAATTAAAATTTAACATAAAAGTAAAATGTATGCAGAGAACACCAATTTTTCCTAGTGCGTCGATGCTTTCTTTTCAATCGGGAATATTAAAAACGAATTGACTATTGAAATTTTAGTTTGGGATTTTTTGGAAATTTATTGTTTCTACGATTCATTGATTTTTCTTCTGATTAATTCAAGAATTATTAATTTTCGCGCTCAACTTGCAACCAACTCAGAGTTATTCGCTGGATTAAGCAATGATCATTCCACTTCAGAGAAAGATACACTGTACGTGATTTAGGTTTGTGAAACGTTTTCTTATCAAAGCTAATAGAGCACCTGGAGCGGACCACGCATCTTGACCACAAAACAAATCACTCCACACCTCTTTTACATTCTAAATGATGAGTGAGTGAAGCAAGTCAAAGACCCCCTTCGTTTACGTCAATGTTAACTGCCAGCAAGATTGGACTAATTTTTCATCTTTACCCATAACACCTGTTTAGACCAATTAATGAACAGGAAGTCGCTATTGAACACCTATTGTATCCTTATCTTAACTGAAAAACGGAAATTCCATTTTAGCTGGTGAAACATTTCTCCAAAATAAACAGTTTTTTTTTTTCATTTCAGTACCTCTTATTTATGCATTTAGGGGTGGACAAAATAAAAAATATCCGTTTAAACTGGGAAATTTAACATTAGTTTAATATAAAATGATTTGGTCCCCTTAAATTTTATTCGTATAAACGGGTTATTCGATTATTCGATATGCCATTAAGTGGAAACGACTGTATGACCACCCAATTGAACAAGGCCGTAGCCAGGATTTTTTTTCGGGGGGNTTGAGGGGGGGGGGATTTGGTAAGAAGCAAGGACGGTTTCAGACATGCAAAGTAGGGGGAAAACATTCTAACAAATATTGTTTATTCTGTTGTTTGCAAAAGTTGAACTAGTAATTAAAAAATATTACATAATAATTATTTTTCAATTAATATTACATAATTATAATCAATTTGTAAACAAAGTTTACAAAGACATGTGACGGGGATTTAAAGAAAGTTTTTTGATTACTTTTTTAGGACAAACCGGAATATCCCGAAATATGCTTAATAAAGTTAGTTAATAAAAGGTTTGATTCGACAGTTTTTGTTTTTCTTTATACTGAGAAGCTCAAACAAAGACTAAAAAGTTTGAATCCCAGAATTTCGGGGGGGGGGATTTGTCCCGACGCCCCCCCCCCTGGCTACGGGCCTGCAATTGAACAATAAGAGTAATGATTTTTACAGAAAAAATAGATCCTTCACTTTTTATAGCTAAATTTATCCGTGTGAATAGCGGAAGGTCAAGAGGTAATTTTCTATTCACACAAAAGCTCCACTTCATCAATGAAATCAAAATCTTCATCAAAAGCTCCACTTCAGTAATACCGTTCGCCCCACCCTCGACTATTCAGATCTTTTATTTTATTCAACTGCTGTAAAAGTGAAATACGTATTAATGTAACATAGGCTATGGAGAAAAAAAATTTCGAAATACCTACTCTATTAGAAGGCAAATAGTGAGGGCGACAAAGGGGTCACAGTACCCAAAAACTGACCAAAATATCGGAAAAAAACTTTTCGCTTATAATAAAACTTCAAACTATTTCAAATGCACTTTAAAAAAATCATCTCTTTATCTACATTTTTGAAAAAGTTATGAATGATTTTAAATTGTCCTAATACGGAAACTTGCTTAGTAGACAGACTTTAAAGTGCTTTTTCTCATAGATGATAATTTTGTGTTTTAATCTCAGTTAAATCCCTAAGGAATTTTTTCTATTTAAGATAAAGCTTTGTAGTAAACTTTTTTTTTATCTTAAGTATAATACACTTATTTAAACTATGCATGGAATTAGCATTTTATGAGGTATCACAATTTTTACAGCATGTCATACATACCTAACAAGACTTTTTAACCTTTTGTTTCTACTTTTTTACAAAATAATCTATAAAAAATATTCTAATTGATATATCAACAAATGAATGCACAAAATTGTTGAAATGAATATTGTAAGCACTATGAAAAAATTTTTTTGAAATTATGTTAAAATAAAAAAGCCTTGGGGATTTAAAAAATGTGAATTTTTTAAATTTTTTTTTTAAATTTTAAAAAAATTAAACAGTTTAATTATTTTTTGAAGATGAATTATTGATTATAAGTTAAATGAGCATATAAAGCATCCACAAAATAAATGATTATACCTTTATTTTTAAAAAAAATTGTTGTAAAGGTACTGTGACCCTTACATGTATTGCAAGGCTTTGCTTTTCAATACCATGGAATGAGCGTACGGGGAACTATGATCGGAAACTTTGCTTCCCCCCCCCTTCAGAATCATTATCATTAAAAAAAAAATAGGAATTCAAACTCTTACTCAATAAAAAAGCTGTATACATTTTGAAAAGCGTCTTTCAAAATTGAGAATAAAAAAATAAAATAAAAACAGTTCATCATTTAAGTTAGTCTATAAATTTATTTATATTATTCTATTCACTTCATT